ATTGTGATAGAAGCTCCTACCACATACTAGTTGCTAACTATGGACGCTATTTTGCATGGTGTATTGGTGGATTTTAGTGTGAACAAAGGTCTAGTAAACTTTTTTTTAATTTTTGGTCATTTTTTATTTTTTCCACCTCTCGCATACGTTTTTAGATTTTCAGGTGACGAGAAACATAGAAATAAAAACGTGTGGCCTAAACTTGAGCCTCCCAAGTTGGGTAATCTGTTGCTTTGCGCCGTCGAGTTCAGTTGTAGTAGGGCCGGTCTGTCCAATAGTCTTACTAGTTTCGTCATCATCCAGTAACTTTCGGCATTCTTTCATAGCTCATGCTCTTCTTCGTTGCACTTTCCTTCCCCTCTTGGACCTTTCCGAACATGAGCCTTCCTAGTTGGAAGGTTGTTGGTTTGCGCCTTGGAGAAGTGTTGGAGCTAGGTGCCAGGTCGCCGAATGTCTCAGTACTCCTTGTCAGTTTTGTGCCATTTTGTCGCACTTGCTGACTGTATAAGATCTGGTTACGTTGGTGGACAGTTTGTCATAACTCGTAACATTTTCTCCTTTACCTTTCTTCATCATAAAAACATAAACGAATAAAATAAAGTGGGGCTCCGACTCCAAGCCAAAAATGTAGTCATCCCTTTCGGTGAGCAACACAACTAATGAAATGAAGTGCAAGACCAAAATGTATATTCACTAACTAGTATGCACAAGCACACACACACACACGCACACAAACATGCACATACAGACGCACGCACAGATGCACACACACACACACAGACATACAGACGCACACACGCAAGCATGCACACACACACACACACACACACACACACACACACACACACACACACACAAACGCATACAAACGCATACACAACACACACACACACACAAACACACACACACACACACACATGCACACACACACACATACACACATACACACACACACACACACACACACACACACACACACACACATACACACACACACACACACACACACATACACACACAAGCTCAAATCAATTCAGATGTGCACGGATACACATTGCTTACGCTCGAAGGAAAACATGGACTCCCGGAAGTGAAGGGCAGAGAGAACCTGGTGGGAAAAGACCCGACTGCGTCCGTTAGCAGTATGGTCCCAGTCTTCTGACCACGGCAGACAAAGCCTGACAGTGCTGGACCGGTAATGGTGACTGCGGTGCAAGCAACGACAAACAAGCTCACACGGATCAGCCTCTAAGCAAAGGTTAGATTCTGAATGACATCATCAACGTACCAACATGCTTTGTGCTGGGCGGCAAGACCAAGCTTGGGAGATCACTCTGCGGAAACATCTCAAATATTGACATCATCGTTATACCGACACGCCTTGTGATGGGTGTCAGACCAGTCAGACCTGGCAAGTTCATTTTTCTCTTTGGTCGAGAGATTTCCCTCCAAGGGGGGGGGGGGGAGGAGGAGGCAGGCGGGAAGTCAGTAGGCCTTCAAAATTCAACGGAGTGTTAAAAAACAACATCCTTATCCATGAAATAAGGAATTCGTGTGGACACACCCATACCCATAGTGCTGCACATCCGAACCAGTTCCGCTATGTGCAGGAGTGGGTGTGTTCACCCGAATTCCTTACCTCAGAGATTAAGTTGCAGGACGTCTCAGCCCTTCTTCATCGTTATACATCATCAGTACATCATGTGCCTGTTCCCATTCAGTGCTAGACTGCTGGTTGATCTACGCGTACATCTACGTAACGACATTCGAGTACAGACCGTCTGAATACAATGACCATGCAGTCGACTGGATTGTACCACGCGCAGGTTCAAATTTCCACTTGCACTCGTGTGTGCGGGAGGGGGGGGGGGGACTCACGTATCACGTTGTAGGGAGCACTAGCTGCACTGCACTACACTCCACAGCCAGCACAAGAACAACACACAAATCTGCTCATGCACCAGCCACACTCACCCGTACCCCTAGTTCGTCCACTGCTAAACGTGAAATTTTCCGCAATCGAGCATTTCAAACCATCCATGTGATGGAAATCTCACTGTATTATCTCTTATTGGCCACAGGTCATCGTGAGAATAAAGATTTGAAACACAGTGAGTGCGTTCGAATATGCACTTGAGTCGATTCATGCATCCATTCGCATGCATTCAGGTCGTTCGATTTTCATGTCATGAGCCCTGGAATCGGTTCGGAATCCAGTCACCCTATTCACATCGTAGCCCGAATCGATTCGCGATCATAACCGAACGCACTCACTGTGTACGTAAGACTTAAAAGACTTACGTATTATTGTGAATGCTGCTGTCCGATGATCGCTCCGATGCGTGAAACTTTAAGTTACAGCTAACACAGCTTTCCGCCTCTGTTGTGTGTGTGTGTGCGGATTATTATGTACATGCATATCTGTACATGTACATGTAGATCTACGAGTACTTACTTAACCACTACTCGTAGATCTACATGACATATATACGTACACTACGTAGCTGGCTCTACTGAATGCATGCACGCTTTCCCCCCCCCCCCCCCCCGTGCTGGGGTCTGTGTGTGCATGCTTGACGAAGTTGACGAAAAAACTGCAAGACAGTCGGGAGGTGTTGATATTGGGCGGGAGTCGGATCGGGAGATGTTTCGAAACAAAACAAAACATCGGGAGAGTTGGCAACTCTGAATGGCCCTGATCAGTGCTAGTGTTATCACCTGTGAGATCACCTTTAATTTTTTATTTTTTTTACTGAATACCACAGAACCATCAGATGCTGCACAGCGGGGTTAATAATGCCATCATCGCTTGAACTCTTTATGGAGCTGACTCGTGACCAGAGGAGAGCGAGACAACATTGGAAACACCCGACTATTGTATTGAAGAGAACTCCATCCGAGAAGATAAGAGCACAACTGCCATGCTCGCGCGCGCGAGCACGGTATTCATCACTTTCGAGGGGAAAGTCGCAAGCAATAGTCAAAACTATTGTTGCATCTCGGTCATGCAAACGGTATTCTTGATCATTTCCATCTGTATCATCTGTATCGAGGGGCTCTCCTGTGGAACGACAGATGAGAGTCTGCGAGCCATAATTTTTCATCCAATAAATTATTTTCAAAGAACTCAGATGGTGAGCCAAGGAAAAATTGCACATGTAGCAAGTAACATGGTTTAGTTGGTGGACTCGATCACATAACTTGTGCCCACATTTCCATGTTCAAAACAATCAATTATTTGAAATAATCCATCCAAAAGCCTTGAAATGATGTGGCGTTTATTTCAGATTGGGGTAGTAGAGAGGTTAAGATGCACATCATTTCCGACGTGACACGCAATTTCACGTCAAATTTGGTGTAAAACTCCAAATTTCTGGTGTAAAACTCCAAATTTCGACGTGATCTGCAGGTAACTCGTGTTGTTTTTCGACGCTCGAGCCAAATAACGTGACCTGAAATTTCGCGTCACGTCGGAAATAACGTGCATCTTAGCCTCTCTAATAAAAGATCAAAGGGCTTCGTGATTTTCTAAGTGAACTGCATGTGAATTGCTTGTACATGACTGTCCTATATGTGTGAATGACATACATGATGTAGACCTATTGGAATATTTTTATTTTCATTGTTATCAGGTTCGGCCTCATTTCCTCTGTGCTGCGCTGATGAGTTCACAAAGAACGAAACAGCATGCTGCTGTCCGCAGATTCAGTACAATGTCATGTAGACCTACATGCACTGACATTGAATTTTTCATTGCTATCTCAGGGGCGTAGGAGGGGTTTTGGAAGTGGTACGACCGAAGGTCGGCGCGGCCGAAGGCCGTTTTGGAGGGGGTCCGCGGGACCTCCCCCGGGAAAATTTTGTAAAAAAGACACAAAATCCTGCGTTCTGGGAACTTCTGGCACACTTCACACACACTTCTTCACTGGCGCAGTGTGCATGCAGTCGAGTCGAGTACATGTATACAGTACAGACTCAGTCCGACTGCAGATGCATAACAGATCTACGATCGGTACGAGTCTAGAAAAAGGTCAAAGTCTGATGCGCATATATGCATCGATGGATCCTGATTTTTTTTTATTACGGTTTTGCACGTTCCGGACGGACCACACTTTTCGAAAAGTGGTACGGCCATGGTCGTACCAGTCGTAGCGGGTGCTGGTTCGGCTTCATTTTCTCTGTGCTGCGCTGACCAGTTAATCTGTTTAGAAAGGAAGAAGCAGCATGCTGTAAGTGTACGTGTGTCCGAGTACATTTTCATCTCCAGGTACATGTACAGTCATGTATTTTCACTTACGGTTGTAAAGCTGTCCTGCTTGGTAGCCACACGTCGTGTCAGTGGTTATGCGATACGGACTGCTCTGGAGCGGCTGCGATGCTGCGGTGCCGTGTTCCACACGCAGCGTGTCGCACTGGGCGTACTTCATGCCCACCTTGTACGCTTCAGCACCGCGGTACAGGCACTGCAGGCTGAGGACGAAGAACACGGCGAACGATAGGACAGGAGGAGCGCGTCGGTCCATTTTCTGTGCTCTTGACGTCTTGTTCACTTGAATAGTCAGGTGTGAGCTGAGTAGAAAGTCTGTGGCACGCGACTTTCTGTGTAGTGGAGAGTGGGGTTGAAAGTAACACTAGTTTGCAAATTTGACAACGGTACCTCGAGACTCAACGGCACCCAACTGTTGTCGTGTTGAACAGCAAGACGATCACCGCACGATGAGCGGCAGAGTCGTGGAAAAAGAATCAGAAAATATAAAATTAGCAGCGGCTTCTTCCGTTCAATGAACTACATACTCGGTAGCTGAGGCACAAGGTTTTGCTGCGCTGGAAGACAGGTCAGTGACTGTCGCGTTCAAGATGCAGTAAGTAGATGATGACTGTACGGAGATCGAGTCAGCCTGGATCCCCAAGGAGCGAGCAATCAACGCTATCGACCTGTGCTGCCAAAGAAGCTATCGCCGGGTCCTGATAGCGATTCGGTGATAGCAGCCTTGTCAACAGTAGAAATCTACAGTCAGTACAGGCGAAACGTCAAGCGAAGGCCAAGGCTATCACCTACCGCCGGTGTATCGTGCCATCTAGCCGAGGATGCGTGAATCGCTCGACTGACTTTGGCCTGGGCAGCATCAATAGATCCAGGCCGTGCTAGTGTCGCAGTGAAGCGCTCCTCGCTGGACCTGAGGCTTCATTGAATCCTTTTTACCTCTTAGTCTTCCTGCAGTACATCTGCTCACTGTGCCAGTGTGACGTTCAGTCTCTACTCGATCGAATGAAAGTCAGGATGGTCAAGCGGCTGAGACTGACCTGAGAGTCAAGGATCAGGACTGGTGACTGCTGTAGATCTATTCCAGTACCCGTGTATTTTGAGGTGCATCCGTACAATCATAATGAGTATGTCCTTGTTTGTAGTCAAGTCGCAGCATGCAGCCTAGCCTTCAATCAGTGTCAATCAGGCATACGCGCGCGGCCCACGCCTTCCCTATTCTGCATGCCTGGAAAGCAAATAACTAATTACTTGAATACCAAGAAAGCCGGTGTCCACCATGCTGCATTCATTCTTTTCAGAACGAAGCCAATCAAGTAAAAGTGGTTGAAAATTCCAATGCTGAATGGCATAGCTTTTCTCTGAGCACACTCTAACGCAGCCATAGTAGTAATACTATGCTCTCGAAGACCGCCGTACCGGCGTTAGCACACCAAGAAAAACTACAAAGGTTTCTAATAAAAGCTCACCATCATCAATCAAGAAATAGAGGTTGCGACTTCGGCGATGATTTTGTTTAGGAATGGGTTTGTACATGTATCTCTGGTGATGTTTGTGCCTGGACAGCACTATATAAGTGGTGCTCTTCAGGCACAATCTTCCTCAGCCTACTCAAGCTCAACTGATGAGGGGTGAATTCCCCGAAAAACTGTGTATTGAGCAGGGAGTGGTGCTTTCTTGCAGGCTTGCCGAGTGGACGGTTCGATGGACGTCTCGTGTTCTCTGGATGGCAGTCGTGAGTCAGTCAAGTGTCAAGTCGTCGGCGGAATAGCGCGACCTCCAGTGTGGGAGCAAACCCATTCCTAAACATCATCAATCAAGATTCGAATATATTCCACGAACCTGTTTTCCGTATTTGATCCAGTGAAATCCAAGTAGTAGTAGTATTTATTATTTTACTAGGGCAATCCCCACAGACTGTGAGTCTTTTTACAGGGTACCCTAGGTAAGTGCGTGAAATAGAGCTGAATGAAGAAAGCCGTAAGTGCGTGAAATAGAGTAAAGAAAAAAGAAAACGGTGGCTGCATACTGTGCCATTATGGTTTGCAAAAGCAAGCAACTACAATACTGATGAAAAGTAGTTTTTAAACAAACGGCGAGGAGACAATAATTTGATAACCGCAATTAATAAGACAAGCTGAATCGACATTAACACACATTTTGTGTGTACTTTATTCATGCAATGTAAAACGGTTGAGACAATGTGCAATAAAACGATGAAAATATGAAGAAATAGTGTAGAGAAAAAATAAGAATTCAAACAAGTTTTCGTACAACACTCATCAGGAATCGTCGTTGTACTAAAGGACACTGAAACAAAATTGAACTATTATAGGAAATCTAAAGTTAGAGAAATAACACTAAAAACAACAGCAGGGAAATTTGAAAGTTTTATTCCAAGCAATAGTGCATGGCTGGGGTAGCCAATGACAACTTTGCGTGGTGATTGCAGGGTTTTTATAGCCAACCACGGCTAGCAAAGAAACGAGTAAGAAGTCAAAAATAAACGGAAAAGAAGAAAAAGAAGCAAATATGGCTCCTACACCGGAGCTCGCGCTATTCCGCCGACTTTACTTGCAACTTGACTGACTCACGACTGCCATCCAGAGCACACGAGAAGTCCATCGAACCTTCGACTCGGCAAACCTGCAAGAAAGCACCACTCCCTGCTCAATACACAGTGTTTCGGGGAATTCACCCCTCATCAGTTGAGCTTGAGTAGGCTGAGGAAGATTGTGCCCGAAGAGCACCACTTATATAGTGCTCTCCAGGCACAAACATCACCAGGGATACAAACTTACAGAGACGCTCCGTTTCCAGCGCGAAAAAACATCTCGTCAACACCAGATACATGTAGCAGCGTGAGTGCAGTGTCGCTCCTGGACGGTGAGACAGACGTCATGGTATTTATTAATTTTATTATTTATTTATTCACAATCACGTGGCACTAGCCAATGAAATGGTGATGTGGGCGATAGCCAGCCATGGCGGTATGATATAGAAAGGTCACTGTTTCCGAACACAGTGTCCTCCACCTTGTTTCATGCTGTCAATCTAACAATTGCATGTATATACATGTACATGTACATGTACCCAATGCACACGTATAATTACATGTATGTGTAGCTATAGCAAAGATGGACTAAAATTGTGGTCTAAAGCAAGGCGTTCCTGAACGAAATGTCAATGATGTCAGCACCAAAAGAAGCGGAAATAGCAGAAGTACAATAGGCACCCCGGTGCTGCACTGGCGGCTAATGCCAATGGTTGCATAATAACTAGCATCCATGTGGGGAATAGGGGTAAGCGGATTATGCCGGCATAATATTTTGCATAATTAGGTCCTTTTTGAGAAGGAGCATATATATATATATAAATATAATAATTAATGGCATCCGAAAAACAAGGACAGATGCTCAATGAGGCTGTTTATAACTACATGTACATGTACATGTACATGACTTTTGTATTACCGTATACTAGACACTGGCGGATAATGCTAGCATGATGACTAGCATATCACCCATGTGGGGAAGTCCGGCACCAGTCCTGGTGATGTCCTAGATAGGACATCACGGAACCCAGCATGCCCCAGCATACATACTATGCTGTTCCCATAGTAATCGTGACACGTGACTCAAAACCTTGTGTCGCGTCCGAGGAAGATGAACATGTCGCACTCAAAACAAACGCAACGAAGGCCTTTTGTCTCAAAAGCAATCATCAGTTGTCGTTCTCCTGGCGGCTTGCCTCAAGCGAGTCGAGATTCGTATCTTGCCTCTTACATTCACGAATTTTATTTTCCTCGTTGTGGAGTACGCCTTGACAAAGGAACTGGCAAGCGAATCGTTTTGGTCACATTGAAAATTGCACGTGCACAAGAGGATTGGCGAAGCAATTTGTGTTCGCACTTTCAGCAGAGCAGTAGCTGCTGCTGCGATAAAGTTTTTACTTTCGCCATTGGCTTCAGGCAGCAGAAGGATCTGGCTGAAAGCGATGGCGATACGTCCATGACCACCACGTCCTGGGTTGATATCCAAGAAAGACCGTCCAAGGTCCAGTTTTAGCCAAGAGCTGTCGTATCCAAGAAATCAAAAACGCCAACAGCAAGCTTTGGCCAAATAATATCCTCCAGGCAGTAATTTACGCGCCTAGCGCCTGCTGGCTCGTCTTCCTCCTCTGCATGACCAGGTAACTGGTTTGGGGCGAAATGAACGCACGGGGCGTGAACATGGTGAAGAAACATTCCAAAGGCAAAATATTCAAAATTAGAACCAATCGTTTCCAAAGAAGCGCCGCGTGGCTACGAGAAACCCCACATGAAATCCCCAAACGAAAACGGCCATTCGGTCGGGTATTCGATGGAGAATCGAATATACACTACCTCAATCCCCGCCGATGTCTGATATTCTCCGCCTATTCCCTCAAACTTGACCAATTCGGAAAGAAATCCATCGCCATTACGATCGTGCATCCTCCACATACATTCAGAAATGCTCACGCAGCACTTCTTTTCATCGCGTGTGCGCGACCGACGCTTCCATGACAACTCTGGGACAGGTAACCAATCAGACTCATTCAGAGTGCGATGTCCTAGATAGGACATCTCCCTGACTGGGCACTGCCCTAGCCGAAAGTCTCCAAATGTGACCTTGTGTACATGTAGTGATGTAGCACAATCGATGTGTGAAACTAGCACTACGTCCAGGCTGTTGCCGTGTTGGCACCACCGTGAAAAGTAGCACTATTTTTAGAGCGCAGAGAGACACAGCAACGCTGGCAGCCCTCTGTACTGATGTACATGATTGTAATACAAGTGTAAGCATGTTTTCACCGTAGTAAGTAGTTCGCCCAGGGCCAGGCCTGTGAGTGTGGTACTGCCATATTCAGATAATCCGAGTGACTGCATAGGGAAGTCACTATTTCCATGCATTATAGACCCCCACATAGCAATGTTGCGGTACGATATACATGTACATTCTTTACTGTCTTTCGCGCCACTGTCACTCGCCACCTAGACCATCCACATGTCCCACTCCTCTTGCTTGGGGACTTCAATTGTAAATTATCTAGTTGGCTCCAATCAGATCCAGATACTTCGGAAGGTCGGCAGCTATCGACCATTCTCGATGACCTGGGACTTCTCCAACTTGTAAATGGCACGCCGACACGCTACTCACCAACAGGCCGGTCCTCCCAGTCCCTTCTCGATCTCATCACCACAAACACTCCCCATCTTGTCACTAAGCCTGAAGTTCTCCCACCACTATCTGACCATTGCCCAGACATATGCAATGTCAAACTCTTCCAACCTCGAGAGCAGCACCAGACAGACATATCTATTCCGGATTATGCAAGTACAAACTTCGAAGCTATGCGCGCCGACCTATGGGCACAGCCCCTGTACGAATGTTTAGAAGGAGCTAATAGTACCTCAATCGAGAGCACTTGGTTTTCCTGGCAGAGTTACGCTCACGAGAGCATCCGCCGTCACTTGCCTACACGTTTGCTCAGACCACGAAGAAAGCAGCCTGCGAAGCCCTGGTTCACGGCAAGCCACAAGCGACTGCACAAACAGCGAAACAGGATGTTTGCCCTAGCCAAGCGAACCAACACCGTGCAGGATTGGGTTGCGTACAAGGTGGTTCGCAACGCCCTCTCGAGCAGCCTCAAGCGCAGCAAAGCGGATTACTTCAACCAATTGTGCTCGCGTATCAACAGTTAAAAGAATAATTACAGGTGGTGGGCACAAGCCAAGAAGCTCGCTAACATTACGAGCCAGACGGCTAACTTACCGACGCTAACCGACGAGAGTGGAGAACCCCATGCGACGCAAGCAAGGCAGAAAAGCCGGCAGACACGTTTGTAAGACAATTCAATTCTCGCCAAACCCTAGCTTCGACCTAGCTGCAGCTCTCCTGACGCCCTCGTTCTCTACACCTGACCAAGAGTTTGATCTACCAAGAATAACTGAAGAAGAAGTCTTCCGAAAGCTCCGAACACTTCCGGCAAGAAAATCCACTGGAGGACTGATAACAAATAGAATCCTGAAAGAAACTGCGCCCGTGATCACGCAGTCCTTGTGTCAGCTTCTCAACCTCAGTCTACGTCTCGGACAACTACCAGTAGACTGGAAAAGCGCCACTGTTATCCCGATATTCAAGAATAATGGACAACCGGCAGTACCCACCAGCTATAGGCCAATCTCCCTCCTTCCGGCCATTGCCAAGCTCCTAGATCCGATCGTCGCGGACCACCTGACGAGGTACCTATCCACTAGTATCCAGACATGACATAATCTCTGCCCACCAGTACGGTTTCGTCCGCCGGAGGTCAACACTGGATCAGCTCGTCATGCTGACATCTAGGATAGCCAAGGCGATGGACAAGCGCAGCACCTACCACACCCTGTTCCTGGACTTCGCTAAGGCGTTCGACAAAGTGCCGCATCCAGTCCTCCTCTATCATCTGGGCACGTTTGCAACCCAGAACGCACTTTAGTGGTTCTCCAGTTACCTTGATGACCGGCAATTCACGGTCAAAGTCACTTCCTCCGTATCCACAACCCGCCCTATAGCCGCTGGCGTACCACAAGGATCCCATCTCGGCCCAATCCTGTTCCTTCTGTACATCAACTCTCTCCCGCAGACCATCCCAGATGAGGACCACTGTCAGGTTTTTCTCTTTGCCGATGACACGACCATTGGAACGGAAGTCGCAGCACCTTGTGCAATTGCTAATTTTGCTCCTGAATTGTCCTCCCTTTTGCTTTGCTACCGTCCTCCTCCTCCTTCCTCCACCCTTTTTCTTAATTAACCTCATTATCCCATTCGCTTCCATGTAATTGGGCTTGTAGCCCGTGTGTACTTGCGAATTCAAATAAAAACATGCATACATACCTACCATTCCCTCTTCCCAGCATCATAGTCACCCACTCCAAGTTGCCACGGATGCTGCCCTGAAATGGGCCGACTCGGCAGGTGGACGCTTTAACCCCACGAAGTCTTTCCAAATGACGTTCTCCCCACGTACCAACGGTCCGGACCCTCCAAATATCGGGCACCTCCGAATGAACCAGGAAGAAGTGCGCACGGTCGACACGCACCGACATCTTGGCGTGCAAATTGATAGCCACCTCAACTTCCAGTGCCACATCGAAACAATCACCACCAAATGTCGCCAACGCGTGGTACTACTTGCCCACATGTCGAGCCGCCTAACGCCGGAAGTTACAAACCGGCTTTATACTGGTTATGTCCGACCCACCATTGAATACGCCTCGCCACTGTGGCAGTTCCAACTGTCCGCATCCCAAGTGGCGGTCCTTGAGCGTCTGCAGGCCAGATTGGCACGAGTCGTCTTGAGACAGCACGGTGTGTTTCTCTCCGCTACTGAACCGAAGGCATCTCTGTTCGCGCACCTCCAATGGCCCAGTGTGGCATGGCGGCGATACATCCAGTGCCTCTGGGAGCTCCATCACCTGGTCCACCACCAGGCAGACCACTGCCCTTATGGAGCTGGGCTATAGTCTCTCCACCAGCGCGCGGGGCACTCTCTAACTTGTCCCGCCTGCCAGGGCGAACACCTACTCGCGTGCCACTTTCCTCTTTGTTACCGCAGCCACCTGGAATTCTCTCCCCACTGACATTAGAACCACCCAAAATAGTCATTGCTTTGTGTCTCGTGTCCGTACCATCTTTGCCAACACCCGCTTTGAACCCGCTGGTTTCATTCCTTCCAGAGTTGCTGTAACATAGTAACAAATGGTATGGCTGATTTCCACAGTATCTATAATGTTATAATTTTGCAGATATATTCCCAGTAAGCCATGAAACGGAGACCCCTCGACTTAGGCCTCGGCCTTTGGGGAATCCATAAATAAATAAATAAATAAAGAGAGAGAGGGGAGGGAGGGGGGGGGAGAGAGGGAGAGAGGGAGAGATAGAGAGAGAGAGAGATAGATAGAGAGAGAGAGAGAGAGAGAGAGAGAGAGAGAGAGAGAGAGAGAGAGAGAGAGAGAGAGAGGAGAGAGAGAGAGAGAGAGAGAGAGAGAGAGAGAGAGAGAGAAGAGAGAGAGAGAGAGAGAGAGAGAGAGAGAGAGAGAGAGAAGAGAGAGAGAGAGAGAGAGAGAGAGAGAGAGAGAGAGAGAGAGAGAGAGAGAGAGAGAGAGGAGGGAGGGAGGGAGAGGAGAGAGAGAGAGAGAGAGAGAGAGGAGAGGGGGGAGGGAGGGAGGGAGAGAGAGAGAGAGAGTAAGTTACATTTATAAAGACAGGTAAGTCTAACAAATGAGGACTGAGACCTCTACACAGGGTTTTTACGCCTGAAAGCAGGTGCATGATTTAACAAGCAGGTTGTCAGTCTAATTTTATGCGCAGATGGAGAAAAAGCGCAGAATTTTTTGTAATGAGATGAAAAGCAGAAATAATAAGAAAAGATGAAATGAAAGCCTGCTCACAACCCCGAGAGAGAGAGAAGAGAGAGAGAGAGAGAGAGAGAGAGAGAGAGAGAGAGAGAGAGAGAGAGAGAGAGAGAGAGAGAGAGAGAGAGAGAGAGAGAGAGAGAGAGAGAGAGAGAGAGAGAGAGAGAGAGAGAGAGAGAGAGAGGGAGAGGGGAGGGAGGGAGAGAGAGAGAGGAGAGAGAGGGGGGAGAGAGAGAGAGAGAGAGAGAGAGAGAGAGAGAGAGAGAGAGAGAGAGAGAGAGAGAGAGAGAGAGAGAGAGAGAGAGAGAGAGAGAGAGAGAGAGAGAGAGAGAGAGAGAGAGAGAGAGAGAGAGAGAGAGAGAGAGAGAGAGAGAGAGAGAGAGAGAGAGAGAGAGAGAGAGAGAGAGAGAGAGAGAGAGAGAGAGAGAGAGAGAGAGAGAGAGAGAGAGAGAGAATGAAAGGACAGGCAGACAGACAGACACACAGAGAGACACAGAGAGAGGCACAGAGAAACAAAGACACAGAGACACAGAGATATTGAGACACAGAGAGCGAGAGAATCGTTTCCAGAGTGATAGGGAAAGAGCAGTACAGAGTTTACAGTTCACACCACTTCCCATGTGCTTGTACCCGCACATGTAGATGCACTAAGCCCCGCCCCTCTTTTACTCAAAGGCTCGAAGAGACTTGTGGTTTGAATCCTGAAAATGAGTTTCGTGTACATGTAGGTACAAATGGCTGCTGTGTTTGAACGTGCAAGTAAGTTCTTACGAAGGTCCGGTATATTCATTAATTATTTCATTTGGACTGCTTTCGTGGTGAATTTGAAACGGCTCTGTATCTAAACATAATAATTATTTTTATGATTGCACTGTACAGTGGTCAAGACACAGGCGCCGTGATCGTGAACGAACTGATGATGGTGGTGGCGAGAAGGGGCCCGGGAGAGCGCCACCTCAAGCTCTGTGCAAGCGTGCCGGAAGCCTGATTATTGTCTTTTCGGTGAGGCAGGCTTTTCGGTGAAATGTCGTACAGTGAATCGCTGTTCGAGGTAGAGTCGTTCGGTGAACTGTCGTTCTGTAAACTGGTTTTCGGCAATCCGTCGTAGACCCTACTGTACCGAGTCTGTGATGTGATAGATCTCTCCATGCCGGATGTTGCCTCCCGGGATCTCGCGCTATTACTAGTAAAACTAAAAATCATGTCAGAAGTAAAAGGTAGTTTGCGTGCGAGCGACAAGGGTTTTGCTGCTTGTCGTGTTCCAGAGAACGAGGCGGCACGCCAGCCGGCCCCGCTACTACTGTACCACACTCCATCTCTACTGGAGTACTGCCCGGATGGGCTTTGTCGCTGGGCTTTGAACACGCTAGCTTAGTAGCTAGACCAACGTGCTCGGGCCCCTGGCGAGCTCTTCCTTCCGTCAACGCTGCCGTACGCTGACCCTAGCCTAGTGAGTAGTGTAGCGCAGCACGATGGCGTTTTTCAGTAGGAAGCAGCGGACAGCGACGCCGTCGACTCCGACCGGTAGCGCAGCGACGGCGTCTCCGAAAGCAGCAGCAGCAGCTGTTCCGCCATCGCCAGCATCATCAATAGGTGGGCATATGTGGCGCATGGACACTCTGGAACGCATACGGATTCGGAAAGCTGCGCCGGACGAATCGCCAACTAGCTCTGCGCCAACGCAGACAGCTTCAGGGAACGGCGCAAGTGCAGAGGCGGCGCCAGCAACAATAGCGAAAACAACGCCAACAGCAGCAGCAGCAACGAGGCGAGCTCCGGTCAGCAGCGGAGATGAAGGTGAGCTTGCGAGCATGCGACTTGGTTGGATGCTGTCGAATATTGATTTCTGTTTCGTATCGTGCACCCCTGGCAGCTCTCGCCAACAGGTTGTCAAGTCAGGTTTCGGCTTGATTTGATCAGACTGTTTTCGTCCTATTTTGCGTTTAGTATAATTGCTCTTTGTCAAGAACTCATTTGCTGGAATACGGGCATCGGCATTTGTTACGACTCCCCCGTTTGGATTTGTATTATAATTATTATGAGTATGGCCCGTCATTGGGCCGTCAAAGATAAAGATACGCACGCATCGACCCTTTACACATGATTGCTGAGTATTGGCATTATGGAATAATGGGTACCTGTCGATCGTCAATTATGCAGGTGTGACTGCTTGGCTGTGGAACGATCGAGGAACGACATCGAGTGCTTGTCAGGTTTTCTTGTGCATACTGCGTTGTTCATAAAAATTAATGTTTCCATCCAGCTGCGTATCATCGCTATGCGCACCTCCGGCATTGATCACCGGTCCCTTTATAGATAATTGTTCGAAAGCACGCAGAGAATAAAATAATGGTTTGGGCACAGCGTGGTGCTGTCGTGCGGGCGTTCTGGAACCATACTCTGTAGCGCTTCGCCACTCTTCACTTACGAACGCAAACGTAGCGTCCGCGATTTCAAGCGTAGCGCGTGGGTTTGCTTGTGCTCTGCGGAGTACAGTACTCGATTTACTGCTCTTCGCCTCGTACCAGCATTGGCAGCAACGCTGCGTTTTGTCCTATTCAGGCTAGTTTTGATTCCTTGACTCTTTTGAGGTGGACGTGAAGCGTCCGGAAACATTTGGTCATTATGGATGTGTTGTCGACTTCCAGGTGGAAATTTAGCTTTCCATGATCTCTTCCGGTGGGCGCTGTACGTGCCCTTTGCGAGATTAGCACTCTGTGATATTGTTACTCTGTGATAATGTTACTCTCTGAGTTAGTCCTTGCCAAATATCTACATCGTAATCAATAATCATTATCAATGAGCGCTTGGCAAAATAATTCAAGCAGCTGCTAATCCAGAGTCGTAGAGGTGAAACAACTGTCCGCATTCTTCATGAAATTATTTCTCTCAGTTTGGCAGTACATGTGGTAAGTTACTTTCCTCACTGTTTGGAGTTACAGACGTGAAATTAATATACCGTACCAGAATGGGCATACGAACAATACAGTACTGGCGAGCGCCGAAGAGCAAACAGGCTAGAATCCGACCAAGCACAGCATACCACTTTATACGCGATGCCTACACTGCGCATAGACTGCTGTACGTAGCGATAAGACTGGCCTAGGCTTGGAGCCTGACCCCCAGTTCTTCGGCGCCCAACAGTTCTGTACAACCAGACCTCGCTTATCCGGTCCTCTTTTATCCGGATCCCTCGCCATCTGGAAGAAAATCGTTGGTTACCGATTTACAGCATACGGCATGCATACATACAGCATGTGTGTTCGATTATCCGGTTCCCTCGCCTATCCGGATAATTCTGTGGAAAACGGATGTGTGCGGTTAAGCGAGGTCTGACTGTACACTCACATATCTTAGTTATCCGGACACCGGAGTCACAAACACGTAGGTCTCCCGAGCCAACTTAGGGCGAAGTCGGGTGGAAATATTACTACTCGTTTTGTCACGGTTTTTTTTGGGAACAAGTGTCGTCACAAAGCCGTATCTCTGGCTGCCCGCATCAAGATGCATGTGGTTCAGAGTTATGGGGCAACAGTATCTGTGCACAAGGTGTATGGAGCAAGCACATATCATGGGATCGAGACGGTATACATCATATGCATGCATGAAGAGCTTGAGAACAAAACGCTGTACGTGCCGAATCTTCAAAATCGAGATTTTTGACCCACCTGAAAGATCACATCGAGCTGAATTTGATGGCTAGGTCATTTTTGGCAAAAACACAGTATATCCTACAGAACACCCCATTCAAACAGTCGCTTTCAGAGCAAAACGCTGTATATCCGGCTAATTCAGGTTGGAGATTTGGTTCCGTGTTCACTGGGGAAAGTGCAGAGTTGGATTCCTTGGATTCTGACCACGGCATGTGTGTAATCAAACGGCGTGTGCATCGTCATCGGGAAATCTAGAATGCACGAAACATTCCATTGGATCAACCCGGGATATGCATGACAAATTGTTTTAAGTTTTATTGCACATTGTCTCCACCGTTCTACATTGCATGAATAAAGTACTAGTATACACAAATGTCGATTCAGCTTGTCTTATTGATTGCGGTTATCAAATTGTAAATGTTGGTTGAATCTGTAAGTGCACGTGTGCGTATATGCATGTTTTCTGTGCAAATGTGTCTGTTGTGTTATGTACGAATGTGTCTGTTGTTTTGTGTACGAATGTGTCTGTTGTTTTGTGTGCAAATGTGTCTGTTGTTTTGTGTGCAAATGTGTCTGTTGTTTTGTGTGCAAAAGTGTCTGTTGTTTTGTGTGCAAATGTGTCTGTTGTTTTGTGTACACACATGTGGCGTTATCAATTCTCTCTCTCTCTCTCTCTCTCTCTCTCTCTCTCTCTCTCTCTCTCTCTCTCTCTCTCTCTCTCTCTCTCTCTCTCTCTCTCTCTCTCTCTCTCTCTCTCTCTCTCTCTCTCTCTCTCTCTCTCTCTCTCTCTCTCTCTCCCTCTCCCCACCACACAGTGACAGTGACAGTAACGGCAGCGGGGCAGACGGCTGACACGGAGATGCCACGCACCCCCACCGCAGCACCGCTATCCTCGCCGCTGGCGATCGACGGCAGCCCGAAGGTACGTCCGCGCCGCCTCGGATTCGCCCAGGGCCCGCTCAGAGCCAACCACGACATCGGCAGCTCGCCATCAAAGCCACTGAACGCATCTCAGGCAGCCACCAGTAGTAGTAGCGGCAGTGGCAGTGGTGGTGGTACTGGTAATGCCGCGGTTAGTGTCAGCGTCACAGCGCCCGTTGCAAGCAGTGCAGCCGACTCGTCGCCGTCGCCCATTGCACGCGACATGGCAGGCGGCGCACGGCC